TTCTTGTCTTCACCACCTGGCTACTGTTGTAAAATGTTGAGCGATTCAAACAAAAAGTAACCAATAAATAGAACAAAATAAAAAATAAAAGACTGCAAGGGACGTCGCTAGCGGAAGCGCAAGTGTCTGAGAGTGCAAGTCTGAGAATGCAAGTCTGAGAGTGCAAGGCTGCAGCTAGACCCTCTTGGAAAATGCGGAGCAACACTACACAGTTTAAGCCAATCAGAAGATGTTGAATTTATGTGCAATTTTGAGGGACAGGATTTTAGACCAATGAGATTTCACCATGTGCAGGACTTTCTAAAATGACTGGTTTGGACAAAATATCTGATTTAAATGGCCGATAGCTTGTGTATACAGTAGTTAAAACATGCTGGCTGTTAGGCTACCAACTGTTTATGATTAACTCACTTGCGCATATTTTTTTTCCAATCACTTTTTTTTAATCCTTTTTCCATACATATTCTTTACTATAGGCAATGAGTGAGTATATCAGGAAGCACTGGAAGGAAGTGGTTGAAATAGAGGAAGATGAGATGTAGCTTTGGGCTGCTGATGAACCCTCTTAAAGATGATCGATAGGGTCTGGTCTGCTTTTGAGTGATGGAGAAGGCCTGTATTGATTACACACCTAGAGTGGGAGGAGTCTTGATAGAAAGAGGAAGTGGGTGGCATTGGAGGGGTAGTAAAAGAAGTCCCATGGGATCAAACAGAGGCTGTCAAGGCGGTAATGATTCTAATAATAATTTAGTATCATAATACTTTAAACCCACAGAAGAAAGAGGTATCAACACCTTTTTTGGGGGAATGAGTTATGTGGCATCATGGGCAATGATGCCATATCTTTGCCAGTGCTCTTTTTAAAATGTTAGCATCACTTTCACTTACAGAAGGCATTGTGTCCATTTATGACATTCTCTGGAAAAAAAGGGCCCGGTTTTCCTATAATTCCATTAGAACTGCATTAGCTAATAGTTCACTTTGTTGTTTCCTCTACCTCAGTGGTTTATCACTTCGAGTTTAGCATAACATGATGGGATCTGAAGTTTTGAGAGCCAGTTTATTGATTTATCCCTGATTTGGGGTTCATTTTAGTGTTTGTTAGAACAGAGCTCTCAGAAAACATGTCAGCTTGAGTTAAATCCCATAAGACCTGTGGGGATGCTGGGATTTATCCTGCATATTTGTGTTTGTAACAGCCACTATAATCCTGAATGAGCTAAACTGGACTGCGGCTCTGGATGACGTCTTTAAGAAGAACAAGGAAGATGACCCGTCACTCCTCTGGCAGGTGTTTGGCAGTGCCTCTGGCCTGGCTCGATACTTCCCAGGTAAAGCACTGGAATGAATAAAACTCAGATATTTACCATAACTCAGAGACTACGGAGAGCACACAGACACTGTGCAGCCATATATACATAATTTCTGTCCCATAGCTGATGGTGGTATGTGAGGGTGAACACATGCACAGGGCAGGAAACAAGAATAGAAAAGCAAAAACAAGTACCCAGAACATAGACAACCTTATGCGAGGGAAAGGGAAGTCATGAGTGCTGCATGACCATTAAATTGTGTCACATTTTGGTTTTAAATAGTATAAGTAATTGAAATTATAAATGTAATGCAAGTCATAGTTTTAGATGAACAGTAACTGATCAACTCTTATTCTTTAGCATCAAAATTATATAAAATTAATTTTTAATTAATTTTATTAAATCAAATTAAATATTTAGTATTAAATAGTGTGATTGATTGATTATTTATTTATTTATTTATTTATTTATTTATTTATTCTTATTTTGTTCATGTATCACAGACCTGTTAAACCTATTTATATACTTGCATTAAATAACTGATTGTTAGTTGGAAATTATTTGAAAATAAAAGGTTAAACATTCATGAACATTAACTCTGATCGCCTTTTGTTTCATTTTTTTTTTTCAGTATAAAAATAGTATTTACTTTTAAAATTATATTTATTACATTAATATTAAATACTAGCTACATTTTAAATGAGATGTTATATAAAATTAAATATTTTGGTTGTCCTACTGCTTTCTAACTGTGATCATTCATTCTTCTTTTGTTTAAATACCAGGACCATACAACCTATTTCTACTTAAGAAGTGATTGTAGAAGGTTAGGAAGATAATAATCATAATAAACCCAATATCCCATCTGCTTTAGCTTCCCCTTGGGTTGACACGAGGAACACACCGAACAAGATTGACCTGTATGATGTACGCCGAAGGCCCTGGTGAGCAGACCTGTGCTGCTTGAGTTTACATTTGTCTGCTAATGAGAGAGATACCAAGTGCTTTATTTCCTCTCTCGGTTGTTAAGCCTGATGGATTATCTCCTGTGTGTGTGTGTGTGTTTGTGTGTTTGCAGGTATATTCAAGGTGCAGCTTCACCTAAAGACATGCTGATCCTGGTGGACGCGTGAGTGAAGTCTCTATGATTTACGGTTACAGTTCATATACTCACTGACACAAACCCACCAAGCTGCTCAAGCAGTCTTTCTCACAACTGATCCTGTTTCGATTTTGCACTTTGAGCAACTGGTTGATCAGCAGAATGTGATTTTTCATTGCGTGTGACACATCCCTCACTCTCTACTTAAAGAGCTCGTGTTAGTTCTGCATTAGAGTCATTTATCAACGTTAGAGAGAGAGAGATGTTGATTAAAGAAGCGCCAATGAGAGGTGAAAGTAATAAACATGAAAAATCAATTTTTGCTTTTTTAGATTGGAAATCTTTGGCAGGCATTTAAATAACAGAGTTGTGTTAAATGAAGCAGTTTACGAATATTAAACAGTGTAAGCAAAAAAAAAAGCATCTTTTTGTTCCAATAATATAAAAATAAATAAATATTTGCATTCAAAATAAAGAAGCACATTACAGTCATGCTTGGCATGTGAATACATTTATAATGTAGATGTAACTGAAAAGTCAGTTATATGATCCAGAAATATACAACATCAATCAAAAACCACATTAATGTGTCATTATGTGGTATATTTTATCATGCTTAAGGGGCATCTTTTGGTTACAAGTGAAATTAGCCTTGTTGTATTAGAAAGTATGGCCTTGAAGAGTTGATTCTGTTATTGCTCAGCCCTAATGATGATGGTGTTGTGCTGTCTGGGCGTTGAGCCCATTAGTGTAGACCAGCTTCAGCCAATCAATGTAGTTTAGCTTTATGACTAAACACTAAAGCCCACACACCTCCCATTGGAATCACAGAGTGATTATTAACCCGTAAAAACCTGATGCAGCATGTCAGTTCTGGAGACATTAAAAGCCTAAATGGGGTTTAGTCTTCTTTGGATGTGTTGTTTTGACTTTTTGTTATCTGCCATTGTTCAAACTTAGTGATTTTTTTTATTTCTGTTTCCCCTCAGCTTTTTATTTTTTTGTGTTATCAGCTCTTTGGGCTATAGCTATAAGGTGTCTCTCTTTTGGATTGATTGATTCATTCATTCATTCATTTAATCATTCATTCATTCATTCATTCAATTTTGTAATTTTTTTCCAGCCCCCCGCCCATATCCCCCCCCCTTCAGCTCTTTGGGCTGTCCATAATATTTTATTTTATATTATTTTATTTTAAATATCTGTTATATAAATCATAGACATAATTATTTTGTATAGTTGTTTTTTTCCCAGCTTTTTTTCTTTGGGCTGTCCATAATATAACATAACATAACATAACATAACATAACATAATATAATATAATATAATATAATATAATAATATTTTAATATTATATTTTAATATTATATTATATTTTTAGTTAGATGTCTATATTTTGGATTTGTTTTTTGTTTTTTTCGATTCCCTTCAGCTCGTTCAGCTGTCCATAACTATAAGGTGTCTCTCTTTCTCTTTATTTTATTTTGTTTTGTTTTATTTCAAATTAAGTTGTTTTCAGTTGGATGTCTATCTTTTGGACTTGTTTTTTATTAAGATACTTTTTCCTGCAAAATCAAATAAAATGACTGAAAATAATAAATAAACCTAATCTTTTGTAGCAAATTGTAGTGATTATATACAGTAGTAACATGTTCAAACTGTGTTCTAACTATGTTATTCTCTGTAGGAGTGGAAGCGTGTCGGGTCTGACACTGAAGCTCATTCGCACTTCCGTCAGCGAGATGCTGGAGACTCTCTCCGATGATGATTACGTCAACATCGTCTCTGTGAGTCTACAGGAGATATGTGTGTTGCTGAGAGTGTGTTTAAATGATGAACTCCTCCGATGCTCAACAAATCTGGATTCCTGCTGAGTAGGAATAGAAAATTGGAGGGAAACAGAGGCATGGAGCCTCCAAGCATCCATAACGTCATAGTTGTTGTAATTTTTTATTTTTTCTTCATCCTCTGCTCTAGACGCTGTGCAATTCATTTATGATATGAAATGCATCGTTTAATTCATTTTCTTCATGAGACTACTGACAGGAATAAAAATCACAAACTCTGTATTCTGTTTTTAAGTGAGTGAGTTGTTTTGTACATTTTCAATTAACTTTCTTCCTCCATTTCTTTAATAACTTCACGCTTGTATTTTATGGCCTGCCTCCAGCTGTGTGACGTTAGCTTGGCGTTAATGAAATTAGCCAGCAGTGCTCTAAGTGTATTGCTGGCACTGAGCCATGGGACTTATAGAGGACCCGAATAAAGCCTTGAATCGAAATGATTTCATAACAATCTTTGCATGTATGCAAGCTGCACCTCACAGTCTTAAACAGATTTTTACGGATAACTAACTACGATGCTTTTATATTGTTTCAGTTCAACAATTCGGCCAAGTCGGTCGCCTGCTTTCAAAACCTGGTCCAAGCGAATGTCCGTAATAAGAAGATTCTGAAGGAAGCAGTCCAGAAGATCACGGCGAATGGCACCACTGACTATAAAATCGGCTTCAAGGAGGCTTTTTACCAGCTCTCCTCAGTAAGAATATCTAATGTAGCTTAAATAAGAAGCCAAAAAACATAATGGGGCCATAATATCACTCAATATTTACCCCTCAAAATATTTACCTACGCAACAGCTTTTTTTGTTTTGAAATTCTTTTTTTGTGATGGACTTTTTTTCTATAAGTTATATAATGTGTATTGTATATATTGAGATCAAATCTGTTTAAAGGTAAGTTTTAAGTTTATTGCGCCATCTTGTGGCAGCAGTGAATATTATAGCTAGTGGCATCAGTGGTTTATTGTACATCTTCAAGTCAAGTTATATATATATATATATATATATATATATATATATATAGAGAGAGAGAGAGAGAGAGAGAGAGAGAGAGAGAGAGAGTAATGCTGGCCAAAATCTTTGCACTTTTAAAATTATTTGTTCCTTTTATAGATCAATGTTTCAAGAGCAAACTGTAATAAGATCATCATGCTATTCACTGATGGAGGGGAGGACAGAGCTTCAGAGATCTTTGAAGAGTACAACAGTGAAAAGAAGGTGAGGAACCACATGGACACACACACACACACACACACACACACAGAATAAAATAATACTTTTAATTCAGAATGAATTTATTAAAGTGATCAAAAGTGACTAAAAACATGTATAATGTTATGAAAGAAAGATTTCTGTTTCAAATAAATGCTGTTCTTTTGAATTTAAATTTCTTCTGAATCCTGGAAAACGATGTGTCACGCTTACCAAAAAAAAATATTATGCCTTATAATAAGCATTATTATATACACGCATGTTTTCAACATAGATAATGATAAGAAATGTTTTCTGAGCACCAAATGAGCATGTTAGAATGATTTCCGAATGATAAATGGAATAAATTACATATTAAATTGTAATAATATTACACAGTATTAGTGTTTGTACTGTGTTTTGATTTAAAAAAAAAGCCTTGCAGCTCTGGTGAGCAGTGAGAAATCACGTCTTTCAAAAACATTATACCATATTTATATCATATTTAATTTTATCTGTAACACTAGCACTCTCTATTCTATTTATATTGTCGCTTTGGATAAAAGCATCTGCTAAATGACTAAATGTAAATGTAATATCATATTTAATTAAATATCTTTTTACCAATAAGGATGTCTTCGGATGTGCAAATGGAGGGGGGTTTTTTTGTCCAGAAATCATAGCTTGTATTTATACTGCCGTTCAAAATTTTGGGATCAGTAAGATTTTTAATGTTTTTTTAATGGAGTCTTTTATGCTCATCAAGGCTGTATTTATTTGTGAAATATTATTGCAATTTCTAATATTGGTATTATTAAAGTAATAAAGTAGTTATGTGACGCAGCACTGAATTTTCAGCATCATTACTCCAGTCTTCAGTGTCACGTGATCCTTCAGAAATCATTCTAATGCTGATTTATTATCAGTGTTGAAACTGTTGTGCTGCTTAATATTTTTTTTGGAACCTGTGATACTTTTTTCTTTGATTCTTTGATGAATAAAAAGTAAAAAAGAACAGAATCTATTCAAAATAGAAATCTTTTGTGACAATGTAAGTCTTTACTATCACTTTTTATCCATTTAACACAGCAGCACAACTGTTTCCAACACTGATAATAAATCAGAATATTAGAATGATTTCTGAAGGATCATGTGACACTGAAGACTGGAGTAGTGATGCTGAAAATTCAGCTTTGCTTCACAGGAATAAATTATATTTGAAAGTATATTAAAATAGAAAAACTTTATTTTAAATTGCAATGATATTTCACAAAATTACATTTTTGGTGTATTTTTGATCAAATAAATACAGCCATGTTGAGCATAAGAGACTCCATTAAAAAACATAAAAAAAACTTTTGAACAGCACTGCACATACAAACACATAATCATGTCAGTATCTTTTGTTTCTCTCTTCTGTCAGGTTCGAATCTTCACCTTTTCTGTGGGCCAGCATAACTATGATAAGACACCAATTCAATGGATGGCTTGCAATAACAAAGGTGAAACGCTGAAATTTAATGCTGAGAAATTTGGAAGACTTATAATATATTAGCATGTATTAAGATTTGAATGTTTCCTGCAGGTTATTATTATGAGATCCCCTCGATTGGAGCCATCAGGATCAACACCCAGGTAAATGCATCGTTCACATAAATGTGACTCCTGTCCAGCATCATATATGATAGTAACCAGCATCCTTTCCCTGCAGGAGTACCTGGATGTGTTGGGTAGACCCATGGTGAAAGAATACAAGAAAGCAAAGAGTGTACAGTGGACCAACGTTTATGTGGACGCTCTAGTACGTCTAATGTTCGATATATCTGGCTGATATTAGGCTGATTCTGAAGTATTGAATAGCTGTTGTGTTTGTATTTGTGTTGCAGGAATTGGGCCTTGTGATTACAGGCACTCTGCCAGTGTTCAATAAGACCAGCACCAGGAAGAGTCAAGACAAGAATAAGGTGAAGTCAGTGAATTGATGTCTTGTGAATCAGATGAACGCGATCTGTTTTAATGTCCTTGTTATCAGTTGCAGGCCCAGAGCCAGCTGATTTTGGGGGTGATGGCCATAGACGTGTCTCTGGATGACATCAAGAGACTGACTCCACATTACACTGTAAGGCGTGAGAGCGTGTGGGTGCGATCTGCACTTCTTAATTTACGACATATGATAGTTTGCAACATTGAAGAGCTTGCACAAGCGTTGCATTGACCTGTAGCAGCCGGGTCATGTTACCAGTGCTGCTGCATTCTTTGTGTTTAGTCAATCTTGTTGTTTTTTTCTTTGTTTTCAGTGCCAAATACATTTCAAGGGGTCATTTTATGTTAAACCATAAGTTCAATATTAAATATAGGCGTACTATAGCAAACATACTCGATGAAAGCAAGGAAAACTTTTTGTGTCTGATTTTGACCTTACTTTTATATATTTGATTAGTTTGAATGAGTTCGATACACATTTTATATAATAAAGTTTTATAAAGTCCTTTGTATGTTTTAAGGTTGCACTGATATTTAAATTTTGTTTGATACTTATAAGCCAACAATTATTTTCACATTGTTAAATTAACGAAATAAATGTTTTATTTAATTATTTAAATAAAACTAAAATAAAAAACACTAAACACTCAAATAAAAATACTAACTAATAATAATAATATAAAATACTAATACTAAAATCAATTGTGATTAATGCTACAAGTGAATTTAAGCATTAAAACATTATATACATAACATACAATGTTATAATATAATATTATAATATTAATATTAATTTTGAGATTTGCTTTAAAATTACATTGAACAGTGTTAATATCCAATATCAACTAAAATTTAGCAATTCTCTAAAATTGTCTGATAGGCCGTATACTTCTTTCTTTCTTTCTTTCTTTCTTTCTTTCTTTCTTTGGGTTGACCAAAGCTGTACATAAAATTACCTAAAAGGCTAATTAATTATTATACGAATTTGCAAATAATGCATTTGACTCGCTCTTAAATAAATGCATAGATAAATACATTTTAAGTAATCAAGATTTAAATATAGATTGGAAAACAGGAAGAGAAGGCACTATATTTTATTTTTAATATATATTTGAATAGTTTTACTTTAACTAGGCAACAATATTTCTCAAGAATAGGATTTCTTTGTTTTTTTGTTTGTTTGTTTGTTTTGTCTTCTGTCTGTGCATACTAAGCAGCAAAAATGAATCGTCCGAGCTTAAACTTATGATGAACTACTTGTGCCAGCCTGGTGGGAGTGTTTATAAACATTTCACATGCCAAAAGGTTAGCCAATAATAACAATTTGCATGTAGTAGTCTTAAAGGTACAGTAGCAAAAACACCCTATCAAATGTTACAGAATAATAATCACCCTTGTCTTTTGTTCCATAAAGCTCGGACCAAATGGATATTACTTCGCCATCGACCCCAACGGCTACGTGCTACTTCACCCCAACCTTCAGCCAAAGGTACGACTCTCACTCATGCCATCGCTGTATGTTTCTTTCTCTCGGTTGTTAAAAGTAGCTGCCCATAACCATGTGTATATGATTAGTTATGCACGGCTGAAGGACCTTCACAACAGGTTACGATGAAATAACTCTGGCCACCCACATGTGCAGAGGTCATCTGTCCTTTGTAATAAACATTGTTTGTGCAATCCAAACACAATCGTTCTGTTTAGTTCACAGATGAAACGGCAAAAAGAGCATTTATTCAAAACACATGCATGACAATTAGTAAATGTTTAGTCAGTGATCCATGGGATTAGTGAACACTTTGTGTGGAACAAAGTAGATATGCTGAGAAACAGTTCCTCATTGGGCACTTCTTCAAGGAAAAAGTGACTCATTTGTAAATATACTGGACACACATATGCTGTCCAGTATTGATTTATGGTATTACTTTGAAAGTTGTTGTTGTTTGCCTGCAGGATCTCAAGTCTCAAGAACCCGTGACATTGGACCTCTTGGATGCAGAACTAGAGGATGAAGTGAAGGTGGAGGTGAGAGCAAACTTTTATGATGTTGTTTCTTATGCCGAAAACTAATTTGTCAATACAATGAAAGTAAATGGGGTCCAAAACAACGCTGGACCCAACTGACTTTCATTTAATGGACAAAAACCCTTTTTCAAAATAATCTTATATCCCATTAAGTTCAAAAATATGAAATCAGCTTTCAGATTCAAGCTTTCTTGTGTTAAAATGAATACAGGCTGGTGTGATTTGATTTTGTAACGTTACTTGTGCTCTGTTGTACAGAAGTTCAAGTCATAACAAAGTGATTATCGAAGCATCAACAAACAGCAAAGTTGATTCTCAGTCCTGTGTGATTTCATAACAATATGTTGGCTATAAAAATATAATTTTCTCACTTCACAACCTAAATTACTCATTTTCTCACTTGAGAGTGACTAAGGGGATATTAGATTACAGTAGTAAATCTCTTCTTTTAGTTGAAAGCAACACTCTGTGTCTGCTTTTGAAGATCCAGTAACGTACTGTATTTACAGCAATGATACATCAGTGACACACCTGTCTGTCTGTCTGACTTCTGTCTGTCTGTAGATCAGAAGTAGTATGATAGAGGGTCAGAAGGATCAAAAGAGATTCCAAACACTTATGAAGTCTCAAGATGAGGTAATCATGCATGATTTAAACAGGAAGTGCTTCTCAGCTGGTTTTTGCTTCAGAACCTTTTTTTTTATTATTAGAAGTCAAATGGAAACAACATAAAAATTGTTTACATTTTTAAAACATTGTACAAAAGCAAACAAAAATGGCCTTTAAATGTTAAAATGTATTCATTGAATTTTATTATAATTTCCTAAATATCTCTGGTAAAATGTTACTGCACAAAACACATTCTGGTTGGTAGAAACCATGTTTATCTTATTAAGCCATATTAATATATCATATGTTTCTTATAACAAATGACAGATGAAATTGCACTAAAATGGTGCAGAGTTGGATTAGCCACACATCCTTTGACATAAAAAATAAATAAATAAAAATAAAGGCCAACCATCTATTTGACTCACTCTTAAATAAATGAATAAATAAATAAATTTTAAGACATCACAATTCAAGCATAGATTGGAAAACAGGAAGAGAACAAATCACAGATGAAATTGCACTAAAATTGTACAGAGTTGGATTAGCCACACACACACACACACACACAAAAACATTTTCTCCTCTCTTTTAAATGTTTTTGGGTCGCAACCCACCGGTTGAGAACCACTGGGCTATACAATAATAGTTATTCAGAAGTAAAACACAGATCAATAGTTCATTAAACCACTAAGTGTTATTTTATTCTTATTGCAGCATTACATAGACAGAGGCATCAGAACCTACACTTGGGGTCCAGTCCATGACACAGACTACAGGTCTGAGAAATGTTTTGTCTTGTTTTGTTGTCTTCTTACTACTTTTATTTTATTTTATTTTATGAGTTGTTTTTGTCTTGTTTTTATTTATTTATTTATTTTTTGCTTTGCTTTGCTTTGATTTGCTTTGTTTTCTTCTTGTTTTGTTTTTGTTTCATGTTTCATGTTTTTATTTTGTGAAGGTGTGTTTGGTTCTGTGGGGTACAAGTGAACATATGAATGTTTTTTTTTATATTGCCGCTAGGGGGCACTGTTCAAAGTCATGTTGAACAGAAATTTGACATTATACTTCTTCCGTAAAGGATACAGTGAAGCGAAATAGAGTAATTTGTTAGAGTTTAAAATCTATAAATTGCAACCTACATGGACAAAAAGCTACAAAACTCCAATTTTAATTTCACATTTCTGAATTATAATAATGTCAGGAAGTCTACTGCTTTTCATCCTCATTTATTTCTTGTGTCTTCTCTCTGTAGTCTCGCTTTAGTTCTACCTGATTACAGTGTCAGCTACATCAAGGCCACTATAGTAGACACCATCACTCAGGCCAAATGTAAGTACCATAACTCACATTCTCGCACCTTTATCAAAGAGATTGGAATGACAGTCTCTTGGCCTCAGAGGCCAGAAGCCGTAGCATGAGCTCCTGGTTTTTATCCAGAGAGTCCCCTACAGCCTCTGTCCATTTCACATCTCTTTTTGACACCCTCACCTCCTCTGGAGATGTAACAGCGTGGCTCCTCAGTTGTGGTTTGTATCCATGAGTGTGCGCCAGACGGGGCGACGACTCCTTTAACAGCAGAAGGGTTTCACCTTGTGCATATTAGCCCAGGTTTTTCTTCCAGATGCACCTCTGTGCCCATGTTTACCCTCTCGTCCTCTCTCATGTGGCTTTTGGGAGAGGAAAGGGAATCTCAAATGCCCCTCCCTTCAGGAGAGCCCTCACAGTTCCTGTACAATATTCTTATTCAAAGCTTCTGGGGTTGAATAAAATATTGTGAAATCCCTCATGTTCTTTCCTATATCTTGCTTTCCCCAAAACCTTTTCATTCTCTGTCTCTCTGTTTTTCTCTCCATCTCTCTCCCTTTCCTCTTTTCCCTGTCTGTCTACAGCTTGGAATGTCTCAGAAAATCCCGGCAAGTATTTTCCTTCTGTATTTTCTTCATAGTGTTCAGTGATACTCACTAGAGATCGGCCGATATTGTTGTTTTGTGATATACTGGCTCAGATGGAATTACCATTCAAATTTATTGAGCTGCTTACTGTCAGTAAAGACTTAATTTAAACCATTTTATTGGCAGTATGTACTTCAATTAATGTTTTTTTTTTCAACTGTTACAATAGTATGAATGTTAGGATCTATCATTTTAGGATATATTCATTTATTCAAAAATACATTAAAATGCAACAAGCTGCAACAAAAATGTGACAATTTTTTAAAAATTTAAATTCTGAATTAAAATACATTTGAATGTTTATAGGGGTATTAAGTCAAGAATGTCAAAGTAATACAATTTTTCTGATACTGTAATATATAGAAAGACATTCTTAAAAAGAAAACCTTATAAAATCATTTGAAATTGAGTTTTTTACTGTTACTGATATTTCTTATAAATAAACCATTGGAGCAATTTTTCTTAAATATTATAAATATCTGAAAAATGTTTGTCTAAATCAAAGTCATGTAATGATTCATGTGAAGATTCATAATCGGAAATGATATAAAGACCTATGAAGACCCTCATGACAGTGTGTTAAAATCAGTAAGTTTCTTAAAATATCTGATAATTTTATGTTTTTTTTTTTAAATGGCAGGGTGAATTCAAGTAAAATGTCATGTGGTGCAACTTATATATATTTAAAAAATTATATTTATGTGAGTTTAAGTAAAATGTCATGTGGTGCAACTTAAAAAAAAAGATATTTATGTGAGTTCAAGTAAAATGTCATGTGGCGCAACTTATAAAACATGATATTGATGAATAACAGTTCTTGATATTTGTTTAAATCTAAAAATGGTTATTTAAAATACTAATATAAAGTGTACACAGATTCGGGGTGTAAGGAAAATATGTTTTTACTTTTTACTTGATGGTTACACCACTTGACATTTTTGAAATCATTAAATTTAAACTTTAAACTGTTAAAAAATGGTATACTCTAGTTTTTCAAAACCATATGAAACCAACATTTCTACAAAGAGACATTTCTAAGAACTTAGATTCTTATCGTGATTTTTCCTTATCGGCCAATCTCTACTACTAGCACCTGCTCTACACTTACAGTATTTAAATCGCAGCCACCATAAAAAAAATAATGCACACACACACATTCGTTCACTCTTCTATGTGTGCTTTGCATGTGTAAATGTTTCCCAGCTGAGTAAATCAGTTTAGATGTGTTCTCTCGTTGCAACTTCAGTGTGTTTGTCAATGTTATGAGTGTCATGAAGTGTGACTATCACATTTACTGACCGGGACCGAGTCTGAATGTGTGTGTATGTGTGAGAGCATCAGGAGATGTTTAGTAGATGTTTTCCTGAAGGTTTGGAAGGTGAAACCGCAGAGGACATGAGTGTGACTCTTTGTGCTTTTATCTCCGCCCCTTCGCTCTCTGAATCATCTGGATGCTTTCAAAGCCTCGTAAAGGGGCGGTTTAACAAAATACAGGCCTCGCTCTTTAGAAGGCATGTCCTCTGTGTGTGTGTTGGGTCCACGTGTTCATGTCCAGGTGCGGATGTGGTATGTGTGTGTCCCTTTTTAACTTTAACGGGACAGTGTAACTTTAAGGCTGTTCCGCAATGACAGTCTGTACTAATCGCTCGTCTGCCACCAGATCTTGGCTTGTCCTTCTGCTAAACTATATTTTACATCCTTTAAAACCATAATTTACCACTTTTTTTTGTCTTTTTTCAACCTGACACCATCACAGAGATGGAGTTTAATGTAAATCAAGTGAAAACGCAGCGGCCTCAAAATGCATTTGGACAGTTTGGCCACATTTAAAAATGTCTGGATGCCATTGCATTAACAAAATATCAAACCAAGTGACGTTCATTTTGAAGAAAGTCACTTATAATTATTTTCTGCATGAAATTTTCCCCTCCTTCTTCTGTCATCTTTTTGACTCATGTGAATGCATAATTCATTAACGTTGCTTGTCTTTCAATTTACAACCAGCAGAAAACCTTAGATGAGAATGCAATATTTTTATTCAAGGCTTGTTCTGTGAATAAAATATTGGTGACCTTTGACCCCTGTGGTTTTACCCTGTTTATCTGCCTCTCTTTGCCTCCTTTCCTCTGTAAATTGCTCCCTCCTTTCACTCTTTGCGGCATTTGACCCTTCAGAAGAAGCTGGCAAGTACTGTTTTTCTCTCCTTTTGTCTTTTCCTTCATGTTTGAACCTGGATGTAACGTCTGACCTCTCACATGTTTGAGTCCGTCATCTGGTTTCAGAAAGAACAAACATACTCGCAAACAAACCCACATGCATAAATATGTAGCAGAATATATGTGGGAGAATGTGATGAATTTGAAACAGACATTTATTTATTTAAGAATACATTGTTACAGTGCAGAATCTTTAATATTTCTTGATCTCAACTTTGCTCTGAATTTTTCTTATTTAATTTAATTTAATTATTATTATATTTTGAGATAATAGATCAAATTTCTCATTTTGAACTTTCTCGGTCTGGCCCACCCGTATGTGAGGTCGTGTGCCTAAACAGCAGGGTGTCACAGCAGATAACCGCATTACTAGACAGAAGCTCAAAGACATATTTTCACAAGCTGTTGTGTAGCAGCCTGCTGTCTGTAGAGTTGTGTTTCACTGTCAGGTCATTTTGAATGTACCTGTATGTTTTGGGGTCTGTTTTTATTCTGTATATATCTGTATTGTATTATTTTCTGCTCTGTAATGACAGAACTTATTTGAAATGCTCTTTGATCTTGCTGATTTCTGATATTTTCATATTTTCTTTCAGTTTTTGAAAGCCTGCATGTGGACAGATTTGAAGAGTATGGATATACTTTAATAGCACCCAGGTCAGTTTCTTAAAGGGATAGTTCACCCAAAAATAGTGTGATCATTTACTCACCTTCATGTTGTTCCGATCTTACTTATTACTTTTTTTCTGCTAAATGATTCTGAGAAATGTTCCTTTTCCATGTTTTAGAGATTACTGCACAGACCTGAAAGCTCAGAGTGACAACAACACACAATTCCTCACAGACTTCATTGAGTACATTGACATTCATACCCCCAACCACTCACCGTGTGAGTATCTTCTGGAGCTTTCTGGGCTGCTGGTTCAAATCCACTGAGGTCAGGGATTCATACCGCTAGTTTAAAGGTTCAGAGTTCATTTCCAGTGCTGCTCCGGGGGGAGCGAGCAGTTTATGAGGACAAAATCTTGATTAAAATGTTACTTAAAAATAGTCGCTACTTTTAGCTAAGAAAATTGTATATTCAAAGATTCACAGGTGCTGTACTTTAAAATAGTATTATAAAAATGTATATAATATATTGTTAAATGATACCATTACACATTTTTAATAAAGTGGAAGAATTTTAAGTGTTTTAACATAGTATTATGAATATTATTACTGAATATTGCAATTACACATTTTAATACATTTTTATAATTTTTAATACAGTATTATAAACATTACTAAATTCTATTACTAAATGATGTCATTACACAATTCACTATTTTCTACATTTTTAAAATGTTTTTTATTACAGTATTATAAACATTGATACATTATATTACTAAATGATATCATTACACATTTCACTACATTTTTTATTTATATATTATAAATATAACTGTTATACAGTGCCACTAAATAATTTTTAAATAAAACGTTTTTATCACAGTCTTATGAATATAATTACTAAATATTGCAATCACACATTTTAGGACATTTTTATCATTTTTAATACAGTATTATAATTCCACATTTTACTACTTTTTTTTTTTTTTAAATAGCTTCATACAATATTATAGATGCCAAATATTGCTATTTCACGTTGGAATATATTTTTATTATTTTTAAACAGTTTTTAACAGTGTTATAAATAGTGCTGTATTATATTACTAAACAATGCCATTACACATTTTTATATTTTTTTCAGGCAAAAAAAAAAAAAAAGGAATTTTCCATATTTTAATTCAATAATAATACTGAATTAAATAAAGTTCATAGCCGAGAATATTAGATAAAAAAAAAAATCAGTTGGAATAATTTTGAGTTCTCGCATAGGCGAAAGCTTCTATTTACAATCACACTACTTCTGCTGTGTTTAAAAAAAAAACACCTCGTCCACATCAAAAGCAATTCTCTTACACCTTTTCTTGAGTAAATTAGGGTTTGTGTATTTCAGTTGTTTTTGAATCTAATTATATTTATTGTTTTCTTGTTGACCGTGTTAATACTATGTAAACCTCCTCCCTTTGCCCGCACACACAGACACCCCCCTTCCACCTCACCTTCCTCTCTGCAGGCCGCTTTGATCTCATCAGGATCAGTTGGTGCTGCGGTAATCACTTGGTTTGGTGCACATGTGTTGAATGTGTAGGTTTGGCTGTAGTACTTTATACCTATGAGCCCACCCCCTGAATTCTGCACCAATTACCCGGTGTGAAAGAGGAAAAGCAGGACATGTCACGGGGAAAAAGAGAGAGAGGGCTGGCAATGTGTGGCAATGCATTGGTAGGGTCCAGGAAAGTCCAGGAAAGTCCAGGAAAGTCCAGGAAAGGAAAGGAAAGGAAAGGAAAGGAAAGGAAAGGAAAGGAAAGGAAAGGAAAGGAAAGGAAAGGAAAGGAAAGGAAAGGAAAGGAAAGGAAAGGAAAGGAAAGGAAAGGAAAGGAAAGGAAAGGAAAGGAAAGGAAAGGAAAGGAAAGGAAAGGAAAGGAAAGGAAAGGAAAGGAAAGGAAAGGAAAGGAAAGGAAAGGAAATTAAATTACATTAAATTAAATTAAATTAACACATTTATTTTTAATTAAATAAAATAGAAAATTTTATTTTATTTAATTTAAGGTTCCAAAAGTTGATCTCTCTTTCAGATATCCTACAAAAATTCTCTCACATTAACCAACAGACAATAATTTCGACTCATTATGTTGTTGTCTGTTTTTTCACTCAAGAATAAAACTTCCTCGTGAGGATAGACAATAAAATTTTGTAACCAGCAAAACATAGCACTGTAAACACTCATTTCTGTGGCTATTTGTCACAGAGGCCTGGTATTTTAAGTCCACGATTTCCTCGCTGTCAAACACAGGCGGATCAGTTGAATTGTGTTCTTGCGCTGCTCTCAATCAGGTCCTAATGAAAAGCATGCAGCGTGCAGAGCGGGGCGGAATAAAGTTGTACACCAGCTGCTCTTTCTGAAGTGTGTGTGTGTTTTGTCGTAAAGGCTTTGCGGTAATGAACTGCAGTGCGATGTTATAAAACACTCTAACGTTCTGAACATGCCTGCACCAACAAAAAAAAACCTTTGAACACTTACTGCCGTTTCATACAGTCGAAGAATACAATCGTGTTCCACGTCTCGGAAAATTAATCTGCGTGTTACTTTCCCGACATGTCTCTCCGCCTCGTTTTTTTGCGTCGCTGTCTCGCTCTCTTTTTTATGAAGTTCTACTTCTTTATGACTTTGGCATCGGTTGCCTCAAAGGTCAGAATGTGAAGCCTGTTCTTATTCATGACCAACAGGTGTTTATGCATTTATCAAGTCAAAGGTGAAGCTTATAATGACGTAAAGCTTTGTACTGTGCCTATTGATCTTCCATTAGATGTTGCTCCTGTAGTGCCAGAGTCATTTTGATACTTGTCATGCCAAAGCGATGGTAAAAGGATGGCGAGATGTTAATAGAAGCCAATTTTTTTTTAATGTATGGTTCCTCAGGTAATATGGAGCTAATAAACAGACTGCTGCTGGACGCTGGCATCACCGCTGAACTGGCCAAACACTGGAACAAACAGGGGCAGTGAGTTGCACTGAATTATAAATGCAAAATACACTAGGCCAAGTGAATTTAACTTCAACTTTACTCTTCTCATGTTGATTCAAACCTGTATGAACATCTTTCTTTGGAGATGTTTTGACACAAAAGGAGATGTTTTGAACTGTGTTCATGCTGCTTTTTTTCATACAATGAAAGAAAGGAAAGGAAAGGAAAGGAAAGGAAAGGAAAGGAAAGGAAAGGAAAGGAAAGGAAAAGAAAGGAAAGGAAAGGAAAGGAAAGGAAAGGAAAGGAAAGGAAAGGAAAGGAAAGGAAATTAAATTACATTAAATTAAATTAAATTAACACATTTATTTTTAATTAAATAAAATAGAAAATTTTATTTTATTTAATTTAAGGTTCCAAAAGTTGATCTCTCTTTCAGATATCCTACAAAAATTCTCTCACATTAACCAACAGACAATAATTTCGACTCATTATGTTGTTGTCTGTTTTTTCACTCAAGAATAAAACTTCCTCGTGAGGATAGACAATAAAATTTTGTAACCAGCAAAACATAGCACTGTAAACACTCATTTCTGTGGCTATTTGTCACAGAGGCCTGGTATTTTAAGTCCACAATTTCCTCGCTGTCAAACACAGGCGGATCAGTTGAACTGTGTTCTTGCGCTGCTCTCAATCAGGTCCTAATGAAAAGCATGCAGCGTGCAGAGCGGGGCGGAATAAAGTTGTACACCAGCTGCTCTTTCTGAAGTGTGTGTGTGTTTTGTCGTAAAGGCTTTGCGGTAATGAACTGCAGTGCGATGTTATAAAACACTCTAACGTTCTGAACGTGCCCGCACCAAAAAAAATGAAAAACCTTTGAACACTTACTGCTGTTTCATATAGCCGAAGAATACAATCGTGTTCCACGTCTCGGAAAATTCATCTGCGTGTTACTTTCCCGACATGTCTCTCCGCCTCGTTTTTTTGCGTCGCTGTCTCGCTCTCTTTTTTATGAAGTTCTACTTCTTTATGACTTTGGCATCGGTTGCCTCAAAGGTCAGAACGTGGAGCCTGTGCTTACTCATGACCAACAGGTGTTTATGCATTTATCAAGTCAAAGGTGAAGCTTATAATGACGTAAAGCTTTGTACTGTGCCTATTGATCTTCCATTAGATGTTGCTCCTGTAGTGCCAGAGTCATTTTGATACTTGTCATGCCAAAGCGATGGTAAAAGGATGGCGAGATGTTAATAGAAGCCAATTTTTTTTTAATGTATGGTTCCTCAGGTAATATGGAGCTAATAAACAGACTGCTGCTGGACGCTGGCATCACCGCTGAACTGGCCAAACACTGGAACAAACAGGGGCAGTGAGTTGCACTGAATTATAAATGCAAAATACACTAGGCCAAGTGAATTTAACTTCAACTTTACTCTTCTCATGTTGATTCAAACCTGTATGAACATCTTTCTTTGGAGATGTTTTGACACAAAAGGAGATGTTTTGAACTGTGTTCATGCTGCTTTTTTTCATACAATGAAAGCATATGCTGTCAAATTCCAAAAAGAGCCTCATAAAAATAGTCTTTTATGGTGTTATATTGTTCTTTTAGGAGTTTGGCCACTGTATGCGTTTGTTGTATGGAAAAGAGCAGCATGAACATTCTGCTAAGCATCTCCTTTTGTGTTCCACAGAAAAAGAAAATCAAATAAGCAGCATAAAAGAAAAAGTATGATAGAATTTCTTCTATCTATTTTATACAGCACTTTTTTCAGTCTAGTTTGTGGTTTTCAGGAATGAGAGAATCAGGGCTAAGTTTGTGCTGACAGACGGCGGAGTCACTAGAGTCTATCCTGCGAGGTACTATTATATTTTAAAGCTTTAGAGAATGAATACCAGGCAGGCCTATGGGATTTAGACTAAAATTATCGCTCTGTGTGTGTTCTGCAGTGCTGGTTCAGAATGGACTGAACAGGCAGAAACATACAAGTCTAGTTTCTACAAGAGAAGTCTGGACAACAACATTTTTGTATTTACATCATCGCCATATGCATTCAATGGTAAGTATGTGTTGGTGATTATTAAAAGCAGCAAAATCCCATTTTTCCTTTTGGATTAATGGATATTTTCTGTCCCCTTTTTATCAGAAACTCAAGATTCTATTTTAGTGAGCAGAGCGATGGACCTGAGAGTTGATGAATTCATGCTGAAGCCAGCAGGTAAGAGTCGGACGTTATAGGTTTGATATGGGAATATACCGTAGATAGAAAGATGTGGCGATAAACCAATATAACAGCCTGGTCAAGTAATCAAACAGTATTTTCAAATTGTTGAAACTTACCAGAAGTGGCCAGTTCAGAAAGCTACCAATAGTGTAATTAAAGTAGATTTTTTGTTTTGCCAGTGAATCTTTGTTTGATTGTGTGATTGTGAACTGATGGAAAACTTAAAACTAAACTCATTTTGGTTTCAGTGGTTGGTGTAAAACTGGATAAACAGACTTGGATGGAAAGCTTCATCAACGCTACGATTACGCCCAAAGTGAGTGCAAGAAATTAACTACCTGTATTTTAACTGTAATGCAGGTTAGAAGGATGCTTGAGAATATTGTCAATTTGATCCATCTTAATAATGTCAGTTTGTATTTGTATGAATTAGGTATGCAGTGATGAAAGTTATGGTTAAATGGTCAATATTCAAATTCCAAAAAGTACATTTGAAATCTAAATGCTACAGGTGAACTTTATAATCACAACATTGTAATGCACAGTTTAAAAAAACAAACAAACTGATATTTGTTTTGAGATTTGCATTTACATTTAATAGTGTTATTATTGTTTATGTTTTTTGAAAGATTAATTTCAAGTGAGCATTAGATGTTGTCAAAGGTGATCTAAATGTAAAAAACGAGCATGCACAATTACATATCCGATATGAGTTAGAATGTCCAATGTCCACTGATACCAATAAATAAAAAAATCTTTAATATTGCCTGATGATACAGTTTTTATATTTTTGTGAAACTCTAATATGAATCCGTCTATATTTTTATTCTTCCTGCACAGTGTGTTGGAGAAATCTGTGGGTGCAGGAGGGACGATAGCGTAAGATCATATTTATGCGACTACTTGTGTTAGATCTAAAGAGATGTTATTATCTATATTATATAAACTACTGTTTAAAAGTTTGGAGTCAGTAAGATTTTCTCTTATATTGTGAAAAATACAATTCAAAATAACGGTTTTCTATTTTAGTATGTTTTCAAAATAAACATTTCTTATTATTTTCACCTTTAAAAATGGTTGCGCTGCTTTTTATTTTTGTGGAAACCATGAAATCTTTTTCAGGATTCTTTGATGAATGGAAAACAGCATTTATTTAAAAATAGAAATCCTTTGTAACAATATAAATGTCTTTACTGTCACTTTCGACCAGTTTAATGCGTCCCTGTTGAATAAAAGTATTAATTTCTTAAAAAAAAAAAAACTTAGCACAAGCTTACTTTAAATTACACTAAGACTGTATTTATCTTTTTCTCTCAAAGAATCTGGACTGCTTTCTTCTGGATGATGGAGGCTTTCTTGTCATGACCAATAAGGACCTCTATATCAATAAGGTGTGCCTCTCTTCATACCCAATCACCATTTTGCTTCCATTCCACATTCCCCTTCTTTGACCCCCAGAGAGCGCCCACCCAACCCCACCTGCACCCCGCCGGCAACAGCAGTAGAGTAAATGTTTAAAGTTAGGCTCAGCGAGGGAAACCAATCAGAGCGGAGTGTGTGCAGGATAAATCACGGCTGGAGTGTTTGGCAGCAGAACTGAAGCCGAGGAGACCGACTGTGCCCTAAATCCCGTCTCCACCCCTCTGTGTGGGCAGACTCTCCAGGGGTCGGCTAGGACCGCCGCAGGATAAATCAGGGCTGGAGTGTTTGGCAGCAGAACTGAAGCCGAGGAGACCGACTGTGCCCTAAATCCCGTCTCCACCCCTCTGTGTGGGCAGACTCTCCAGGGGTCGGCTAGGACCGCCGGGCAGACCGCACATTCATTACGGCTGTTATTGCACAGGGAGCAGCGGCCGTTCTGTATGCTCTAGGATTTATATCGCCTTTGGACTGACTTATAGTCTCGGATGCACACACTTTTACATTCTTACGTGCAATACAAAGCTGGAAGTTAAGCTGTGTGTGTTCGTAACAGTAACCAGAACAGGGGCGGTTTTTAAAAACTCCACACACACTCGCGGTCGGTATCACACCTCTGAGATTTTGTGGGCTCACAGACAGCTCTTTCTTTGGTTTAAATTATGGTAATGCAGTATGCCATCCTAATAAGATTAGAACAGATCCTATTGGCTCCCCTGAGCACGGTGGGCTCCACACTCTTTAAACACACAGCATGTAGTTCACAGCATGAACTTATTCTACAGATTAGTAGGGACAGACATCCTCATACCCTGAGTGACACATGCCTGCTATGTAACTCGGTCAATGTTGTGAAATTTTGAATAAGAATAGCCACATGGAATCTGACAGAATTCAGCAGAAAGCTGTGCATAATTATTCACTATTTAATTCTGCACATTTCTGTTTTAACACATTTAAGCATTTTTGGTAACACTTTAGTATAGGGACCAATTCTTACTATTAACTAGTGGCATGACTATTATTAAGATATTGGCTGTTTATTAGTACTTATAAAGCACATATTCTGCATGACCATATTCTACATCCCTAATCCTACCTAATACCTAAACTTAACAACTACCTTACTAACTATTAATAAGCAGCAAATTAGGAGTTTATTGAGGGAAAAGTCGAGGTTAATGGTTTGTTAATAGCGAGAGTTGGACCTTAAAATAAAGTGTGACTTTTATTTTATTTTACCTTTCCTTAACCAAAAAAGAAGCCACACTTTGTCTTCCTGCAAACTGTTAATAGTGGACGACTCATTCGTCAGGAGCAGATGTGTGTATTCAGAGCGTGATTCTTTATACTGTTTGTAGCTCATCTCAGGACATCTGCAGACCAAATGGTGAATAAACAAACATTTCATTGCGGGTTTAAATGATGTTAATTGAAAACAAAAATAGCTTTTGTATCCTTTATTTTTCAGTGGTGAATCTTTACAGTCTGTGCCTGTTGCTTTTTAAAATGCAGGTTCATGAAGGATATTCTTTTGGGGCATTAAATTATCCCCAGAAGTAAGCAAAAACTGATCAAATCCTTTGGAGATGCCAGCAAAGTTTTGTGGGTGAAATCCAGTCATTTCAGTAGGAAACAAACTTTTACATAATAGGGAAAAAAATTTCCCCACAGATTTGGCAACAGGATTTAACAAGTTCGTCATACTGACCGATAGAAGGCTGCTTGATTTGAAAGTAACTGTTTGAGCTGTGCGACGCTACACTATTGACAATTATAGACAATAGACAATTTTTGTCTGAAAAATTGTGCTGAAATTTTGTGAATGTGATTTTTTTTAGTCTGTAGTAATTATAATTATCCCTATATAATAACAACAGAAGTCTATGATGCCCCCGTCTCTAAGTAATTGTGTGTGTTTGTGAATGTCTGTTTTCAGATCGGACAGTTTTTCGGGATGATTGACCCCAGCCTAATGAGGAATCTGATAAACGAATCCCTGTTCTCCGTCAACATAACCTATGACTACCAGGCCCTCTGTGAACCCACCAAAGAAACTAAAGCCGCCGCTGGTCTCAGATCAGTCTATGTGGTGAGTTTCATTTTCTTTGAATTCATTTCAGTTTCTTAAGACAAAAAATAAAGTCAGTTTATAATATGTTCACTCACAATAAAAATCGTATCCAGTAGTGGTTTGCGTGTTATCTGAAAAGTGTTTTGGCACCTGCAAATAAAGATTTGCTTGCATAGCACATTTCCCCCGGACTATAAAGCTTAGTCATGCAATTAGTGAACTTCATATTATTGTTCCATATCACACTGATAAGTTAGCCTCACGATACTCTCTCTGATCTGTGACTTGAACGATTTCGGCCTTGCCTTACATGCTGACTAAACCTCTCACAACACACAGAGTCAACCGTGAATCATCACAAAGAGACACTTCCTCTCTCTCATGCTAATCAGAGCAGCGTGTGCGGCAGCTAATGGTCCCCTGAGCTCATTCGTTTAGCCTTGTTTGTGGATTTATGCTTGCATCTGCTGAGCTTTCGTCTAATATCTCCCGTATTGTTTGGCACCGGGTCCCTTCTGTCTGGCAGGGTCATAATAGGGCCCGCTGCCAATAAAAATCAGGATGTTTTGGTGCTTCTCAGCTCCGGATATGCAACTTGCAAAGTTAGAGAAGAATGTCTGAGAGAATAAGAGTTTAAGATGCCAACATCTTTGAGTTTATGCTGATTTTAATGGGGATGATGCATCATCACAAGGACCTTTTAGATGCCCTTAGTGCTCACAGAAATGTTGTGTAGATTTAAAACATGTTGTTTGTCCCTTTTAGCCCACCATAGCTGACATCCTGAACATTGGTTGGTGGGCTTCTGCAGCAGCCTGGTGAGCGATTTAACTTTCTCAGTTCACACAAAAAATGAAAATCCATTGATTATTAACTAACCCTCATGTTCCAAACCTTTCTTCTGTGGAAAAAGGGCCTCTTTGTATATTTTACCAGAAAATAGGAGTCCATTGTTGTTTTGGAACCCAATGACTTTCATTACAGCATATGGATAAAAACATTGTTCTTAGCTCAATCAGTATTTCTTTTGATTTCTCCAGGTCAATATTGCAGCAGTTTTTTGTCAGCATCACATTTCCTAACTTCCTTGAGGCAGGTAAGATCTAGACATTAGTAATTCCTTGCTATGAAACAATGATTAAGCTACTGCAATTTGGCAGACGCCTGTTTTTCTTGTCATCTGGTGCACTGCCAAAACTACAGTGCTAATGACTGCTAATGTTGAATTCCTGTACGTACAGAGTGTGACCATGTATTCTATTTCAGAATGTCAAAGACAATTAATGTGATGGGGGTGCGGTGTAAATTTTGACTGTATTCTGTGAAATTTAATTTTCATTTTTTTGTAATTGACTCAATTGACAGTTCAGTGGGTGTTATTTAAGCACTAAATCAACAGTAATTCATATAATAATTTCAAGTATTGTAGCTCATGGCAACTGAATATCAATTGTGTTTTGTTCACAGCGGACCTAGACGATGACCTGTCTGAAATGCCATCTAAAGAGAGTTGCATTAAAGAGCAGAAACAGTATTTCTTTCAGAACGATGAGACAACTTTTAAGGGGACTATTGATTGTCAGAACTGCTCCAGGTGATACTTTTATGGAACTTAATTGTGGAATCAAAATGATTTAAATTTTTTTTGTTGGTTGTCAATTTAATGTGATAACATTTTTGTGATTAATTGTTAAAAAAATTACGCAGCAAAAAACATATTCATTGCTCCTGAGCTTTACATACGTTTTCCAGTTATCTTTATTTGGGAAAAAATAACTAATATTGATTATTATAATTGTATAGTTATACAGTTCTATTTATTTATTTACTTATTTAAATGGCATATTATATCATAATAAATAAATATTAAATAAAAACAAAACTAAATTAAACATGCAATTATACAGTTTTGTAACTTATGTTTTCTCTTTATTTAGTCTGCATATCATGTAACAATAAGTAAATTAAATTTAACATTTTATGTCATTATATAGCCTTTTAATCAGTTGTCACCCAGTTCTTAATGATCAAGGTGACCTTTGTCACAGATGAATTGTGCCCATTAGTTTGTGCATATGTTTGTGTTTTTGTTTTCAGGCAGTTCATAGCTGAAAAGCTTCCGAAGACAAATCTGGTGCTTATTGTTGCCGACACAAAAGAACCGTGTTGCCAGGCTGATGAAAGATTTTTCTCCCAGGAAGAAAAGCCTTGTATCCTTCATTCATGTACAAACAAACCTGCTGTTTTGTATTGAGACACGCAATGATGATTACTTGTCAGGTCAGTGTCAGCTTTGGGAAGGAAATTCAGAAATAACTAGAAGTAGCTTTTCCAGTAAATGCGTTGCGTCTCACAATTTCACGCAAAGTCTCTCTCGCTGTCATTTTAGTTCATTTTAGTCAGTTCATTCGACCAGCTGGTGTCAGTAAAGTGGAAAAATGGTTGACCAGTTCTCAAGTCATTACCCAACATGTTTATCCAATGTCCCATTTTCCTTGTAAATACGTGGAGGTTAAACAGGTTGCAAAGTTTTATAAAATTGTGCAGTGCTGGTATTGTTGGTACTTTACTAAATAAACCAGCAAAACTTCCTTGGAGCTCCAGAAGAAAAACAGGTTTTGCTGCTGAACAGCTAGACCACCAGCTCTAGGCCTGCATAAACCAGGATGGACTAGCAGTTTTTTTCAGCAGGAGTGTATTAAGTCCAACACACTCTAATGTCAATTATAAATGTAACTAAGTTTTAGTGAATTGGTGGCTTATTAATGCATACAAATTATTTCGTACAATCGCATTCGTGAATTGTTGTACGATCTACGTACAGCCCACTGACTGTTTGGTTTCTATACAAATCACATTCACAATTTTATACCTCGGAAAATCCTTACTTTTTCGCATAATATCAGATTGTGCTGATTTGAATCCTGAACTTGGTCTCACAGCTCCAGGTCCAGATCCCTGTGAGATAGCCCAGAACCCACGCTATCGGAAAGGTCCGACACAGTGCTTTGAAAACAACGCAAGTGTAAGTCACTTAAACACCTCCCTCCTGCAAAAGCCTACGACAGATTGAGACCAAACTAGCAATCAGCATGACTTGATGTGCATCATGTCCTATTTTTCAAAAATGGCTGGTCTTTGCTGCTCTCATTTCAGTCATCTACCACACTGAGACTCTGTATGAGAATCTTTGAGTCATGACCGATGTAAAGAAACGCTATTTGGCTCTGTGTGATAGATCTTGGTTTCGGAGAGCTTGACTTTGTTTGACATGTTCTAATCTCACACAAACATACATTTCATGGCCTAAAGAATGCTTTTTTTTAAATTAACTGGGTTGGGTGTTTCGGATAGAACAGGTGCATAAAATCAAGCGTATAGTTATGCAATCCCATTTTTGAAGACATGACGAGTCTAGTGTGAAAGAATTTGACTGGCCTGCACAAAACCAAGACATGAGCCCCATTGAACAAGCTTCCTATTCATGATTTTGAATTGAAATGTTCACCGACTACATATGAGTGGGGTGTCCACATACTTTTGACCAAGTAGTGTATCTTTATCTAAACACACCTACTTCCTGCTCTGGATTCTCTCTTTTTACTTACAGTATTAACGCTTTTTGGCTCAAGCACTTGTTCGCATGTTGCTTAAACTTCTGACTGTCAAACATTTTTCTGCATGACTCTTCCTCTCTCTTTCTCTCTTTCTCTGGTGCTGTGTATCTGGCTGTATAATGTATGTTAGGATGAGGCCATGTGTAGGAGAAATGCAGGCTCTCCACTGCTTTCCTCTCTGCTCATGTTACTGCTGCCAGTGTTCATGTGCTGTCTCGGGTCAGTCCATCTCTCTATCTCCCTCTATCTCTCTATCTTTTTATTTATTTATTCATTCATTTACTTATTTATTTTGATCTATCTTGTCTGCCAAATAAGTAGTAAATTCACTAAACACCTGTGTCACTTTTGTTTTTTGTATGTCTTCTTATTCGAGTTTGCTTAAACAGCTTTCTATGGAAATTTCTTTCATTACCTGAATTCCTTTAGTGAATCAGCTGCTAAAACAGCACAGGCAGTTTGTGCAAAAGGCTATCAGCAGGCACACTTCTGTTCTTTTTATCTACATTTTTTCTGTCTAATTCAAATTAATATCTCTTTCTCTCGTGCATTTAATTTTGCATGAGTCAAACTAATTAACTTAGCTCTTACAGCTTGTTAAACTGCTGATGTAACTCTCACGCTTGACTAATTCACCAGCTGATTCATTTACATTTACATTTACATTTAGTCATTTAACAGACGCTTTTATCCAAAGTGACTTACAAATGAGGACAATAAAAGCAGTCAAAATTAACAAAAGAGCAACAATATATAAGTGCAAATGACAAGTCTCGGTTAGCCTAACGCAG